AAGTGAAACAATTTTCAAATAGGGTTTCCACCTGGAATAAGGCAAAAGGGTTTTCTTTGGGCTTTTAAGTCTTTTAAACCAAAAGAAGTGAGTTGAAATCCAAATTTAAGGCATTAAGTAGCCAATATGTCTCTGTATTTTTCTCAGGTATTTTTTAGCAAGCAATGCTAATAACATCTATCGTTTGTTTTTAGGTCCCTCTGAATGATATGTTTGGTTATTCCACTGAACTTAGGTCTTGCACAGAGGTAAGCAAGTGTTTATCTTTACCACAGTGCTCTTCAAAAGATCATCCTACACAGTCATGAGATATATGAGATTGTGGCTTTACATGATTCCATAGTTGTAAAAAAAAACAAACAAACAAACAAAAAAACTCTCTCTGTTCTGTCTCTCTCTGCCTTTTAAATTCCTAGGGAAAAGGAGAATACACCATGGAATATTGCAGATACCAGCCGTGTTTACCTTCCACACAGGAAGACCTCATTAATAAGCACTTGGAAGCAACAGGTCAACTTCCTGTAAAAAAAGGAAAAGCCAAGAACTGACTTTCCTTGTTGTGAGTTTAGTAACTTTAAGTGAATATGCAAGACTTAGATATGATGAATTCCAGCGGAGTGAAATCAGGTTGCTGAAACAAGTTTTAGAAGCACTTCCTATTTTAAATTCAGGAGCTTCTATTACATATATTCTAAGATAATTCTATGTATGTCTCAACTCTGTTGGTTGGTTTTGTAGTTCATTGAAAAATCAAATCAAATATTCCTGAAATATACTTAATATTTATTTAAGGGAGAAAGGGATTAATTTCAATTATGCTCCTAAACTTAGAATAGGTGTATAAACCTCCTTTCCATATTTTCTTTTTCATGAGAATTTTCAACATATGGAAAAGTTGGAATTGGAACAGCCATGTACCTTCCATCTAGATTCAGCAATGGGCAATGGACACTTTTGTTAACAGTTTGTTTATCAAACAATAATTTTATTGTCTGTGTCTCCTACATTGAATTTTTAAGTTACTTTGCTGAAGACTTGCAAGTGAATTTTGTACATTATAATGTTTGATAATGTCATTAATGGGCAGGCCATCCTGTTTAAGAGGGCATGTCATATGTCCCTGCTAGGGAACAGCTGATTCATATATGGCAGATTGCTTCAGTTTATGGATTCTGCACATTTGTAACTGCCTCTGTTTTAGGAGTACATATGTTACTTGCAGTCCTCTCTGAAGTAAAATAGACCTTCACATGTGCTGTTCTGGATTGTGTTCGCCTAAATGTTTCTGTAGCCCTAAATAATAAAGTATGATTTACAGAATTGTTGCCCTGTCAGTTCATTCGCCTAGTAAACGCTAGTTGAATTTTGAGTCTATTAGAATTTGTCACATATTCATTGAGATTGTGAGAGAACAAACATTTCAGCTTTGGTTTCCACAATAAGTTAGGTTTTCCCAGGCAGTTCACCATACTATCCCAAATTTCTTAATCCAAAAATTATCTTATACTATACACATCTCCTAGTCTTTTTCCTTACTGGATTATAGAAATGAAATAACTGATTTTAAGTGCTTTTGGTTTTTTTTTAATTTATTTATAGATTGGACTGTATAATTTAAGATTTCTAGGTTGAAAAAAAAAGGATTAAATATTGAGCACATGTTTTCAAGACATTTGCTGAGTAGTTTGTTAAGTGAATTACCTAATTTAATTCTCTCAACCCCGTGAGAGAGTTTTTTTTGCAATAGAGAAATTGAAGGTAAATTTTTGCAAGCCCACACAGCTCATTAAGTGTTAAAATGTATACTTTGGTTGCTGTTGAGGAAGCACATTCCCCACGAACATGTGTTTCTCCAGTGGCATCAGGCCTGGAAAACATGGTTGCTGAGGCATTTGGTCAGCACCTTGAACCCTTCTTGATGATTTTGAATACTGTTCTGCATGAGCCAATACACAAGTTATAGCAGGGTACATCTGGCCATTAAGAATATCAGAAAGATGGGTAAATTTGGATACATCCTTAATTTGTTAAATATTCTGGTTATAAAGTTGCAATGTTAAAAAGGACTCTAGGTATCTAATGCATCACCAACATATCATAGGCAGTGACACCGTCCTAGCTTAGGGGAATGTCTTGAACAGCACCCTGTGGAGACAGCTCCAGGACCAGAATCCACAGTCCCTGCTAACTCATTAGCTTAGTGGTAGTTAGTAAACACTACATGAGAAGAATGGGAAAGATTAATGAGAGTATTCATAAATGAGAGCTTCTGTATTACTCTTGTGAAGGTAACTGCTGCCTGACTTAAGGAAAGACAGCACTGCTGTGTCAGCTGGTAGGCACAGACGAGGAGGTACTGCACGGGTGCCCAGGCCTGACTGCACCCTAAAATCACTGGGGAGCTTAAAGCTAAATACTCTGAAACTTTTCTAGATGATTCCAAAATGCATTCAGTGCTGAAGATAACTGCAGGATGATCTGCACTTACACCCAAGACAGGAAATGAAAGATGTTTGCAATTTAGATGTGACATATTATTAATATTCTTTTGTGTGATATAAGAATTTAGACTATTGGTTCACCATTTGATAACTTTAAGACTTTTTTTTTTTTTCCTGTTACTCATTTCCTCACTGCTCATTCTTAGACTGTGTAGTTTGCAAAATCACTAAAATTGAATCAGTTCTGAAGTTTGGGATTTTTCATGGTTTAGAAATTGGAGTGAGTCTCAAATTTGGCAGCCCCAGAAAGGAGTAAGCTGAGACATTCTGGGATGTAGTCCATTTGCGTTGCTGGCACTACAGATTGTTGAATTGAAGCTTGAATTGCAGCTCACCTATTTCAGATAAATAGCACTATAATGCATCATTGAAATCAGTTAATTGTGTTCACAGGAAACTTAGGTGAGCATTCACTCATTTATCCATTCAAATAAGTGCCAGAGAGCATGAGATGATTTTTGTACTCCAAAAGCTAGAAAGGTCACAGAACAGGTCAGAATTTTCTAATCTGGGAAAAATGGGCATGATAAACTAAGATGTAGATTCCAAGTGCAAAATACAAAGCCTCCCTTGACTTTCAGAAGAACTTGTTAGCAAGTTGCTACTTGTAACGACTGATGCTTCAGGTGGGAAAACTGAAACCTAGTGGGATAAAGTGGAGTACAGGGAAAGTCCTGGCTCCATTTTGCATGTCTTTAAGTTTTTGAAAATTATGAAGAATTCAGACAAGTGAATGTGGTGTTGGATGGTATTATCATGGGCATCAGGGCTTCACACTCATAAGGAAAGACAGCTTAGGGTACATAGGTTTTCATTTTATGCCAAACCAAATGCAGTAATTTTTCTCTGTAGTTACTAGTAAAATCAGTTAGAAAAATCAAGTCAGCAGTTTTAGAGTTTGTGCCAGAAAGAATAGTCTAATGATGATAGTGAGAAAATTTTTAGTTGGTTTAGCTTTCATAAGTATTGTAAATGAGGTAATTGTGTTTGTTGTTTGCCTGTGTGATTACCCTTTGTAATTGTTACACCAAAGCAGAGTCTGTTCGAGGGTTACCTTAGAATCCTTCCCTGGGAGAATTATGGTCACATTTGCAAGACTGATCTCACTAATGGAAATTCCCCTTTGCCAGTGAAGACCTGGAGAAAGCCGACACACCACCAATTTCCCCCTTTCTAGTCCCTAATGCGATACTAAAAGAAGTTGAAGATCACAGGACATGGAGTATGCTATAATGATGTTGTATTTTTACCGTGGGTTGACCCAAGTGCACTTAATCACTGAGCCATATCCCCAGCTCTTTTTTTTTTTTTTTTTTTAATTAGCGACAGGGCCTTGCCCCACTAAGTTGCTGAGGCTGGCTTTGAACTCACAATCCTTCTGCCTTGACTGCTGGGGTTACAGGCATGTGCCACCACACCTGGCAAAATAATGCTCTTGAGAGCTACTTTTGAAGATGATTTAGGGAAAGAACTTTCTCTCTTGATTTTTGGTGTGATTAAACATTGTAGACTGTTTTTATATTTTCAAAGAAGTACTTCTTTTTTTTATCGAATAGGTTGGGAGGGCCTGAGTTGCCTTTAAGTGACCGCGTACAGTGCTTCAGAGTACTTAGAACGCTTTAAAACAGTTGGATCTGGGGAAGGTAAATGCAAAGTTGGGGTTTTAAGTAGAAAAACACATAAATTAGATCCGCTTATCTTTATGAGAGTCCTTATCTTTTTTTGTCTTTTCTATTAGTTTTTCCAGTTATCTAATAGTGCAGACTAATAGACCACTCTGACTGAGCGGGTTCACCTTGGGGTTTTTCAACTTCATAGTGGTGTGAAAGTGATATGCCTTGGAGAGAAGCCATACGTAGAATTCTGGTCTTCCCCCAAGCTGGTAGTGGGCATGTGCTCACCCCCTTGAAATGCTGGGTGGTACAGGAGCCGGCACTACAGGGTATAATGTTGCTAAGCCAGGGTGTTTGATAGGTTAGTGTATTAAACACATTTTAAACCTGTGGTGTTTTCAATTTACAATGGAGTTTTCAATGTAAAAACCCCATTGTGAGTCAAGTTGTGTATGTATTTTGTTATAATTTAAGGTTGATGCTTCCTAATCAATTATTGAGTGAGGAACCTGGCCTAAGGTTCTAGACACTGATAGAAGTGTTCCATTACATTATAATAATTCATAGAGGCAATGATGGTAATATTTCCTGGGTCAGTTCTTCCTGCCTCGGGCAGGTACTCCACTGAATTTGATTATGGTACATGTTGTTTGCTTTTATAAATTACTTAGGCCAACTCTGGATCCAGATTGTCCTTGTAAATGAAGATTGTTAATGTTTGGTATACTTTGAGTTAATGTGTATTTGCAGGCAGCCACTTGATCTAGTGAGATATGGTATTATTTAAAATTTGAATCAAGCAATATTAAGGTTTTTATTTAATTTCAGCTTAGCATAAATGTTGCCTATGCATACAAATCTCTGCAAACACATTTAACACATTTTATTATTTAGAACTATGAACATTTATTTAAAAGTAGATAGTAGATGCCAAGTTAAAAAGGAATACTTGCTTGAAGTAACAAAACAGTGGAATTCCTTAAACAGTTATTATTTTCCCTACAGTTTTCTTTGACTGAAAATATACTTGTTGACATACAGGATAGGAGCAACTGTGGGACATAAAATAGTTAACAGTATATTAAGAAGAGTAAGAAATGCAAATTCAGAGTTGAAACCTTTTTTTTTTTTTTTTTTTTTTTTTTTAATAATTATCAGCCTCTGCAGCAGGTACTGATACTGGTTGCCTGGATTTCACATTCCAGGGCTGAAACTCCAAGAAGCCTGCTAGTGGGTGCCCAGCATGAGCAAAGCTCAGCATGCCCCTGTGGCCCAGAGCTAGACCACACAGGCCAGCTGAACAGCAGCTGATACATTTGAGTTTTTGCTGATAGTCACAGGCTCCAGAACTAAACTAATTGTTTAGGCTAGGAAAGTCATTTTGTCTAGAATTTGGTATAATCAGCTTTTTGTTTTTTAGAAATTACTAAACTCTGTTGGTGCCACAGCAGATCCTTCCTCAGTTCCAGAAGAAGCTTCGACTGGGGTTTGTATCTCTTCACACCGGTACTTCACTTTAAGTGGCTTGCCGGGGTACCAGATCAGGTGAATATGGCAGGGAATGATTTCCTAGGACACAGAGTTATAAAATATTAAACCGCACAGAACTTAAGGTAGAAATACTTCTCTGTACAAGCTTGTGTTTTACCTGTGTTGGGAATTCATGCAGCAGGACAGTGTAATCGAAGTCGATTGCATGATCACTGGTTTTCTGGAGGAAAAAAACAGAGTGAGTATAACAGAATGGGGAGCTTGGACACACATGTTCTTGGTTTGAAGGGGTACCTTGACTCTCTGCAGCCTTAAGATTTGAGCCCTATTTCCTTCATTGTATTCTGTATCAGGGTGCATCAAGGTGTGGGTTCTCCCTTTGGTTTTATCACTAAGTAGCACAAAATGCTGGTCGGATGTCTTTATCACTTTTCTTTCTGATACTGTAATTTGGGATGAGGGCTGAGGTCTGTGGGGTAGGCTGGCTCTTGGCAGCACAGCTCCTGTGTGCACTGTAAGCTGCTGGGTCAGCCCTGCCACCCCAGGCAGCAGCACAGGGAAAGGCAGCCAGCATTTCTGGGGTGTCTGCCAGGGACCCTGTTCTGTGCCCCGTCCTGTGCTGGGCACTGCGCACACATTCTTGTGTGGTTCTCCATCCCTCCCAGATGACTCTCCCCAAACCACCTTCGTCACGTATTGGAACCATTTGTAAACCAGAGTATTGGGGCCTCTCAGTGGACAAGCACTTATCCTCACCTCTTTTATTTATGTGATTTCTATGCATTTTACTAGTAAGCAAGCCAATTTTCTGTTTTCTTTTTGACATTTCCTTTTTTTGATGTCAAGTGTACTTATTTCTTTACTAGTAACAATGGAAGACAGGAAGGATTTCTTAAAACCTTCAATTTGGAATATAGTTTTAGTATCCTACCAGATTTTTATTGAGACTATGAAAAAGCAAAAACAAAAACAAGTTAATTTTGACCTGGTGGAGTTTTCCAAGTCAGGAGTGTGCGTAGGTGTGAAGGGTGCTGCAGGGCAGAACCTGCCTGAGTGAATCACAGGTAGACTGCTTTTCATGTAGTGCTGCTTTGTGTTGCGTGGTGGCTCCTCCCCTGCCTGGCATCGTGCCCACTAGTGTTCACAGCAGGTGTCTGACACGGAGCAACAAGTCTGGGAACTCATCAGAGAAAGTTCCATGTCTTTCAGGAGAGAACAAGCTACAGGAAGTTCCAGATAGAGTCGGCCCTTCATATCCAGGTGTTCTGTATCCAGGCATGCAGCCAACTAAGGGTCAAAATGGTTTTTGAAGTTGTGTCTGCACCGAACACATGTGGGCTTTTTTTGGTCATTATTCTCTAAACATTACAGTATAACACTATTCACATGTCACTGTATTATCTACCAAAAGAAATCTAGACATGACTAAAGTATATGAGGCTATGTATGTAGGTTATATGCAAATGCCAAGCCATTTTATATAAATAACTTAACATCATGGTGTTTGGTATGTGATGAGGGCCTGGAAACTGTTCCCCACAGACACCAGCAGATGACTGTCAGGCTGGTGGTATTTCTTTGGGGGTATATTTAGCCTTGTTTGACCTTCATTTGGAGACTGTCTTGACCTTGGAAGGAAGTGGCTCTCTCCTGGGATGTTTCACACCAGCTGCTGTCCATGTAATATATTGGGCTTTTGTGCTGTCTGCACAAGGTCTGTTCACTGTGTTTTTTTATAATTTAAAAATTGGTTTTGCTTAGAAACTTAGAGTGTTTGTTCAGGACAGTATCTGTTTTGCTTTTGAAAGTAGCATTTCTGAAGGAAATCATGGCAGTCTCCAGATCCTAGGCAAAAAAGAGACAGGTCTTAGAACAAATGCTAGCCCTGCACTCTGTCTGACTCACCATCCTGCTATTGACTCAGTGGCACTCAGTCTATGATGAAGTCTAAAAGGTGATGATGCTTGGAAGCCCTGTGCGTTTGATTGAGAATTCCTTGACGCAGTTGTTGGGACACCCTTTACACTGTAGGAGGAAGCACCCTTGACCCAATCTACAGAGCAGAGCCCCTGGAGAACTACAGGGAGGACATTGCACTTCCCAGTATAGCAGAGCACAGAGCACCCCAGGATGGGACCACCCCTGCTCGGTCAAGCTCTGCCAAGAAGTCATTATTTTTAATATTATTCAGAACAATCTCTTTGGCTTCTGTCCAAATCCTTGTGGTCCAAATTGATGATGATTTAGTGTGGTATTTTTTAATCACTCAGCACTCTGATCTTCCTGGAAGCAGCCTGGATGTGGTGTTTGTCCCCTCCACCTCCCATCTGATAGGGAGGAGGCTGAAGTTCAGATCAGCCATCACAAGTAGCTTTCTCAGCAGACCAGGTTAGTGGATGGGATGTTGCTGTAACATGCCTGTGGCTTCTAGAGAGTCACACTGGTGGCAGCCACATGCTGCTGGTTATATGGTTGGATGCTTACACAATCTGGCGCCAGTGGAGCAGCTTAGGAGGCATGAGGTCAAGGCTGAGTGCGTGGGAAGTCCCTCTGTCTCCCAGCCAGTGCGTCTCCCTTGTCCTTGACACAGTCCTTGTGGTATAGGGACAACATGGATTCTTCAGTTCTAAAGATATAATTTTTAGTGAGGTGGGTCTCATTTTGTAGCTGTCTTTTGAATTCTTCCTTTCTTTTCTCATTGAGGCCTTGTTCACCTGGGTTGTGCATTTATAACTTGTCATGCTCTTGCACAGTTGTATTGAAAGGTGAGTTTAACCCCCAGTATAAAGACAATGACCCCATGGGGAGAGTTCTTGTGCTGTTTTGAGTACCTCTAGTCACTTCTGGCCTCTACATTTTGGCTTTACCTGCCCTGTTTCTGTCCCCCAAAACCTTTCTTAGAGCTTTTAAAAACATTGCTTGTTTTGCTTCTTACTTATGTTGCTGCTTTTGCTGAAAGATATGGAAATTCTTGGTGGCCACTGAACAGCAGAATTTGAAAATCTGTGGATGTGTGTGGACAGTACTTCTCATTAAGAGAACTCCTAAAAGAACTCTAAGATGAAATGCCCATCTAACTGGACACCAACTTCACACTGCCCCGTGAGGTTAGGTTGATGTTAAGGGCTTCAATCACTTTGTTAGTCCTCATTGTAGAACCTGAGAGATGAAGTGATTTGCCTTGGGTGACCAGGTCAGTTGTCTACTCAAATATTTATCTAAAATTCAAACCTCACAGGGTTTAAAAAAAAAAATCTAAAATTCCTAGTAACCATTCTCCCTCATTTTTTTTTCTTTTTAATAGTGTAGTTTTCATGTATGTCTCCACTGTCGCACTTGCAGTGAGTCAGACTTACATCTAACTAACACTGTATCCTGAGTAGTCACATAGAATCAACTAGATGGTGATTTCTATTAAAAGTTACTCTGTAAGGAGAAGAAAAAGTAAGTAAAGAAGGGCCGTTAAAAGTGGCCTTTTAGCTGGTTGTGGTGGCACACACCTGTAATCCCAGCATCTGGGGAGGCTGAGGCAAGAGAATTGTGAGTTCAAAACCACCCTCAGCAACAACGGAGAGGCACTAAGCAACTCAGTGAGAACCTGTTTCTAATAAAATACAAAACAGGGCTGGGGATGTGGCTCAGTGGTTGAAAATAAAAGTAGCCTTCAGAAGGCACACCAAACTTCCAGATGCTGAAATGCTGACTCATGCTGGCCAAATCTTAGTACTCAGAGAACTCATTGATGACTTATCCAGGGATAAATCCATGAAAAAATGAATTTTAATTTTGGTATATGATGTGAGTTAAAAGTCAAAGTTCATTTTTTAGCAATTATTGAGAACTATTTTAACTTTATTTTATAATGCTGGGGATAGAGTCCAGGGTCTTTTGCACAAGCTATGTAGGCACTCTATCTCTGAACTATATCCCCAGGCCCCTAAAAAAAAAAAAAAGAAGAAGAAGAATTTTAAGAATTAGTACTTCCGATTAGTTCCACCTGCCTCTCAGGGAAGTTGATTTTGTTTTCTGTGGATACATGCCTTCTGCCATATCACACTTGCCTGACGAAGATCCCAGCATCGTTAAATTCAGTGCTGGGCTCCCTTTGCACCCATGCCCACCCAGAAGAAACTAGTCCTCTGAATCCAAGCCTTGAAGGACCTGAGGGGCTCATAGTGCCCCAACACTCTCAGTACCTCCTCTGGGCCTGCTCTCAGCTGACAACTGCCCCTCAGTGAGGAGACAGAACCAGCTGGCACTGAAGGGCCGCTGGCTCCCACATGGCGGCTACCTCCTGCCAGCACCCCACTGCCATCCTCTGGTCTCTAGGCAACCTCTACTCCTGTCTGAGATCGGAGGTTACAAGGCTCCAGGATTCAGTCCTTCAGCAGCTGATTTGTCTCCCCTACTGCCCATGATCTCATCCAGCCCTGTGGCTTCATATACCCCTGTATGGTCGTGACTCTAGCCCATTCCTCCCCGATCAGACCTGTAGGTCTAGGTGACTGCCCAGGCTCTCTACCTGTCTACAGGATTTAGCATACCACAATTCGAGATCATTTCCCCCAAATCTTCCCCAATCAGAAAATGTAAACCCTATCCTTCCAGAATTAGGCCCAAGTTCTAAGATCATCCTGAAGCTGATCGTTTTCTGACTTTCGGGTCCAGCCCAGGAGCAGATCCCAGCAGTCTTCCGCACCATCTCCACTGCATGCTGGCCTCGCCTCCATCACTGCAGTAGGCACTGGTCTTTGCTTCTCTCTGGCCTCCCTACAGCCCCTCAATGTAGTGGCCAGAATGGTCCTTTATGAATGGGGTTGTGTCACTCTTCTGCTAATCGGAGAAAGAGCAAAGTTCCAGACTCTTCTAATGACCTCTAAGGCCTTGCAAGAACAGCTGCCCTCCCCATGCTCTTGTCCCCTGCACAGTCCCCTTCTCACTCCATCCCTACCAGCCTCACCGATGCCTCTCCATCCCAGCAGCCATACCTCTGCCTGAAACCCCTGGGCTCCCTTGGTCTTCTGCTCAGCTCAGCCTCACTTCAGGCTGAAGTAAGTCTCCTATTAAGACCCAGAACCTCTGCCTGCCTTCTTTATGTAGCACTTGCACATGTGAAGCATACTTATGAGTTCACTGTCTTCTCTCCTGAATTCTTCTCAGTGAGGGCAATAGCATTGTTCCTACTCACTGTCACATCTTCAGTCCCTTAAATAATACCTGGCCTGCTGCAGGCATTCATGTACTATTGAGTGAATGAGATGTAGATGATTCACATGACTTTGGTCTAAGGACACCGCATTGTTGGGTCTTGGGTGCCAGGGAGCCTCAGAGTCCTTACCCACTGCTTCACCCTGCTGAGCTGTAACGGGTAGTAGTATGAAAACTGGGTCGTCCTTTCCCACATCACATAAGAGCTGCCAAGAACGGCCAAGTCCCAGATGGGTCTCACTGAGGGATCGATATGTCCGTAATCATCTAAGAGGGGGGGAAAAAGCATATTAAGGCATTTTTTTAGACAAAATTCAGAATTTCAGTCATGATTAAGGTTCAGATTTGGTCGTATCAGGGCATCTCTCACAGCAAGACTTTGGGGCAGACCTACGATTGCTGGCATCTGTGTTGACTTGGAGACTTGGGCCTCACCTAGCCACGGACATCCACTGGGAAACAACTCGGTGGCTGTAATGATGCTGAAGGTTGACCTAAAGCTGTTAGGGGAGTAGCATTATTCATTAGATCAAAAAAGGCTGGTGATCTCCTTATGACCTGGTGGTTGGGTCTTTCCAAACTCATTGCTTCCTCGTCTGCTGAATGGCTTTCTCTTACCATTGGCTTTAAATCTAATCAGTGATTGGCAGCATCTCTGCCACTTCTTTTGAACACTTGAAGAAATCAGATGGGTTTTTCCTGTGGCATTGTTGTTTTGCACCCAAAAATCTATAATTTGGAAGACATTTTTTAAACCTGCTTAATATGAGACTGCTATGATTATTGATTTGGTTTGCACATGAGGTGTACCCCAAAAGCTCACATGTGAGACAATGCCAGAGGTTCATAGGAGAAGTGATTGGGTTGTGAGAGTCTTAACCCAATCAGAGATTCAATCCCCTGATGGGATTAACTGAGTGGTGGCTGAAGTGGTGGGTGTTCCTGGCTGAGGTGGGAACTGAGGTGTGGCTTTAGGGTATATATATTTGTATCTGGCAGGTGGAATCTGTTTTCCTGATCACTGTGATGTGAGCTGCTTTCCTGTGCCACCCTCTCCCACCATGACATTCAGCCTCACCTCGAACCCTGAGGAGAGGAGCCGGCCTTCTATGAACTAAGACCTCTGAAACTGTGAGCCCCCAAATAAACTCTTCTTCCTCTACAATTGTGCTGGATGGGTCTTTAAGTCAGAGCAGCAAAAAAGCTGACTAAAACAATTTTTACCTTTCATGACTTTTAGAAACTCAAATCTCAGTAACTTAGAAGATAACTTTCATGAATCATCATTGTATGTGGAGACAGTCTATTAAGACAGTCATAGCACAATATGTGAGGGATGCCTATAAGCTGATTTGGAAACTCATTCTTCTTGGCTGAATAATTTTTGTATAAATTCCATTTCTTGACAGTCCTTGGCTTGGCTGGCTTAAAATGATAGGCAACTCCAGGATTACTCCTTTTATCTTTGTGTGAGACAAGATGGGTCTCTGCCTCCACTCAGGTGGCACAGAGATGCAGTCATGTATTCCTTAAGACAGGCAGGAGCAGTGCTCTGAGGGAAGTTTCTCTGGACTGGAGAGGTTTGGGGGAGGCTTCACAGAAATGAGATTTCATCAGGCTGTGGATTCCTGTCACCTATGTGGGTGGGAAGAGCACAAGCTAGTGAGTACCCCGAGCTAGGAGGGCATGGGCAGGGTCAAGAATATAAAACGCGCTGACCGCACATGCAGTACCAGGGGTGTGCACTGAGTTGTAGGCATGGGATGATGACTTGGTTCTGTCACAGGACAGATAGGGGTGACTGAAATCTACAGACTGGACAGGAGGCTCCTGCTGTGGTCCTGGAGGAAGCCCTGTGGGCATGAAGGATGCTGATGGTGGGTCCAGGGTACTTCCTGGAGGTAGGCTTTATCAGAAATGGTGGCCAGGTATTAAAAGGTGACCAAGAGTCCAGTCGCCAAACTCCAGGAAAGGAGTAATATTCAAATAAATGACCAGAAGTGCAAACCTTCTGGGTGGAAACAAGCTGAGTGTTAGGCTTATTAAATACAGCGTGAGATGAGCTGTGGGAGTAGATGACATAAAATGCCACAGCCAGATCAAGGAGAAGGACGCCCACTGGTTTGGTGATCTGGTGGTCTCCAACGACCCAAGGAAGGGAGAGCAGCTTCTGTTATGTACATAGCTCAGAAACTGGCCAGGAAGAGGCAGTGTGTGTGGAAGGAGGTGAAGCCCTTGGTCAGTCTTGGCATTGCTTCAAGGAGGCTTCAGAGATAAGGAGGATATTGATGGGCACAGTCACGGAAGCAGCAGAAAAATTGGAATCAAGAATTTATCAATTAAAGGAGAGAACTGGGAGAGACCAAGATGGGGTGTCTGGATGTGCAGGCATCTCAGGCTAAGCCAGCAGAAGCGAACTCCAGATGCCAGGGATCTGTGATGTGACCTGATGAAGGCTGTTGCAGAAAGGAAGTTCTAGATGGTGCTTCCACGCACCTTCATGAAGGGACTTCTGTTCACCCCATGTTGAGTGGCTGACCCACTGGGATTTCAGGACAGCACTGTTGGTGATGCTGTTCCCTTGCTTTATTAAGGTCCCTTCCCCCTCATCTTCGTTGACTGATACCTCCCCCTCACAGCTCACCCTCTCAGGTTCATCTTACAATGCTATGAATTTAGATTGGGGACATCACATCCATTCCCCTTGGAGATAGAGAAGTCTCACTGGACACTGGGGCCAGCGAGGATGTGGAGAAGCTCCCCACACAGAGAGGCTTTGGCTCTATAGTTTCTTCCTGTGTGCTTGGGATCACCTATGGGGAGTCTAGAGAAAGTGACAATTTCACTTATAATAAAAATAAGATAACTGCCTTTTAAAGGGAAAAACAATGTGGAGCAAAGTTAGATCCTCATAGTTAAAAATTGTGCACAGTAGCCCAGTATCATGGACTGATTAATACTGAACAGAATCTGCTAGGGTCTGAACTAGACATTCCAGGGATATCACCGTACTCTTTATTCACTTTATCTAACCTTTGTGGTTTTAAAGTAGATAATTGTAGGTCCATGGACAGGCTATACATAGCACATAAGCGTCTGAGTGCAGAGCTTGCAAGTACTGTTGATGAGCAGGCACCTTCTTAGGATTTTCCTGAAGGTTCGTAGTAGCACATTGTTAGAAAGTTATGGAAGCTCTTATGTGTGTACAGGGCTCACTAACTGAACAAGAGCCAGTAGCGTGTGCTATTGAAAAGTAACCCAAATATAGTGATCCTGTGCAAATATTCAAAGAAAAAGGCCTGTATAATTTTTTAATTTGTGTCTTAAGGAAACCAGATAAGCCCCGTTTTCCAAACTGAAGGGGAAAATATCCCTTAACAACTAAGTGCTAAATGTTAGTCATTAGCTCAGTTATTTCAGGGACACCAAGTAGAAACACATTCTTGGGTTTGGAATTGCTCCTCATAATTTTTTGACACAGTATTCAATCCACATTGTCAGGAAACTGTTGTGTGAGAATCATCCATGGCTCTGAATCTCAGAACACAAGCAGTGTTCCACATCTAGCTCTCAAGAGCATCTGGTCAGTACCAGCCAGCCAATGGGGACAGACACCTTGGGCCTGGAGCCTGCAGTCCTCTGGAGCCAGCCTTGGGTGTCTGGGCAAATGAGCAAATCAAGGGGGAGGGTGTGTGTGGTAGGGAGTAGGGGTCAGATGGCAAGCTTGATGCCCAAGTGTGAGTCCAGAGACGACTTTCGTGGTTTTAGAAATTGGATTTGCCAGTAAGTGCCAAGTCTCAGCTGCTGCCCACACACTGAGTACTTGGACAAATGAGCTCTGCTCCGCTTCAGCTGAGTCACTGTGGAGAGCGGGGCTCAGCCATTAGAGATGGCACCATTGCCATTAGCCACTGCCCTGAAATGAAATAATCAGAGCTTCATCCAGCACCCCAGAGACAGCCACTCGCCTGCCTGCTGCACAGGGCAGAGAGGAGACAGGAGGGTGGCTTCTCACCTAGTTTCCAAGGCTGCCACCAAAGATCTCTGGAAGGGCCCCTCAAGTTCTGAACTGCACCCTGAAAACCACCCCAGGTCACATTCTGTGGAAAAGATTCCTTTACCCCCTACCTGGGGCTCAGCTCTTCCTGGGCCCTGCTTCACAGGAGCTGGTAGGCGGAGGCCTCCCAGCTTCTGGAGTAGTTACTCTGTTGTACTGAGATGAAGAACAGAAAAAGATACCTCGGAATTCTAATTGAGGAGGCGTGTCATGATCTGGAGCTCAGTTGAAGAGTCACTTTAGGGATACATTTAAATGAGCGCTCTCTAAGATTCAGTGACTACACAGTCAGGAACACTGGACAGCAGAGGCTGGTTCGTACCAGGTATGCCGCCCACGGTCAAGGCATCCTTCATTTGCTTCAGCTGCTCGTACAGCAGGTGATCCTCTTGTAGTGTTCTGTTTTTCTCACTGAGCCCTGTGCAGGTCATGGTGATGGCTGGCCTGGGTTTCTGATTCTGGAAAAACACTCGAGCAAAACATTTCCCCAAGCGTGGCTTACCGTCCTGAAGTAGAGATGGTGGCATTAAGCAGGATGGTCACTTACCGCCCCACCCTCACAAGACTGACAACTCCTCGTGACACCAGGAGTGCCCTGGCTTTGCAGAAAGTGAACTTTCACACTTTGCAGTCATCTAAACTTGACGTCTTTATAATAATTTTGGCCTAGTGCTGTCTGTGGAGCGCTGCTTGGCCCAGCTGTAGAGTAGCAAATACCTTGCCCTCTTCTGTGGACCAACGTAATGCTTAGCTGGATGTTGAGACTGTTCCTCTGAACAAAAACATCATGCTGTCTTATGAATTAGCTCCTTTCATTCTAGTTTTAAAGACTAAGATGCTAAAGTTTAAAGAGAAGTCTTCTGTGTCTCCCAGCTAGTTAAGTGGTAAGCCAGGATTTGAGCACACTCCTATCTGAGCTCAACTTACTGAGGTCGAACTAACCCCTCTGTGCTGCTCTAGATCTAGTCCAGAGGTGGAGGCACAGGTCCTCTGCCTGGGCTGACCAATTGCCTGGACTGCGCTGATCCACATTCATGGGTAAGTGGAGATTACTGGGTGTCCTGGGAGCACTCTCAATTATCCAGCTCAGAGACATCACAGTTTCAGTTAAACATTACGTATGATTCATTTCTAGGGCATTCAGTCATTCTTCACCCCTTTCAGGTCACAGATTCCTTAACCTGATAATTAAAGCCAGGGACGCTGTTCCCAGAAAATGCACTTGATCATACCGTCAGCACCAGGCCTAGAGTTTGAGGCAGTCTGTGGGCCTCATACCAGCCATGGGCCCCTAGTCAGAATCTCTCCTTAAAAAGTGGATGCAATGACTTCTTCAATTCTACAGTTTAAACAGGGAGGAATCCCAGTTAAAACCACCACCAAAACAAAGCCCACAGGAAGATCAGAGGTGGATCTGCTAAGAAAGCCTATTTCCAGAACCAACTCAAAACATCATGGTGGGCTTTCCAGTGGGCTGCTTTCCCCTGTGAGTACCAGCTTTGAGAGAGCATCTTGGGTGCATTAAGATGCTAATTACAGGTGCAGACAGAGAAGATAGTGCAGGGCTTTCAGGAGGAGGGTGTGATAGGTGCCACAGCGCTCTCTGAGGCTCCTCTGTTGTCCTTTCAGGAAGTAGAAAAAGAATAGGCATTGCTTTTCCTCCTTTGCTTTGTTCACCCCCCCTCCCCCACACACAAACCTTCAGGGAACAAAGCACCTGGTGAAGATGGAAGACCTCTCCCCTTGGTGCACCCACAGGGTGCAGTGGTGGCATGCTATTGCTCCTTGTAATCTAGTAACTGGTTTCCCTTCAGCTTTAACCAGTTTGCAATAGAGAGCTCACATGCTTCCTCCTAATCCTTGTACAGTTTGAGTCCTGCGGTCAATAAAGTCAGGGCATACTTGATTCTGGTGAGCCTTCATCCAGAAGCCTGGAGTACAGAATCATGCCTTCACTCTGAAGCTCTGCCTCCCTGTGATACTTTGATGCCAGGCACTGCCTGTCCTTCCCAGGCTGCCTGGCTCAGAGCACCACTGGAGAAGTCAGGGCTGGTCTCCCCCATGTCCCTTGCTGCCTCCCAGCCTTCCCAGCACATGAAGTTCATCTGGCTCTAATCTCCACTTAAATTTTCTGTTTACTCTCTTCCTGAAAACAGGGCAGAGGAAACTTGGCAAATGTTAGCTGCTTGGTGGAAACTGCAGCAGGCTAGTGCCTGTCGCACACAGGGACCACCGTGTTTCATAGGATGCCTCTGCGTAAATCCTGGAATCGGCCTCAGGCTGTGCTGGCCTGGCAACCAGAAATGTCACCAGCAGACACTACGAAAAAGGACAAGATGATGTTTAGAGTGAGTCATCCCCAGGGCTCTGAGGTGTGGGAGGGGGTCCCAGGGAAGGGGGAGTGAGTGGTGTGATCTGATGTGCGTGTATAGGGCCATGAAGTTGAAGTAGTTGGATCTTTCCCTCCTGCTTGGCCCTGTTCTTCATCATTTGTCGTCTTTATAATAAGGCAGGAGGAAAGCTCTGGCACAGAGCTCCCAGGCTGTTCACAGAAGTCGCCAGCAGGGCCCTTCACTGATCTGGCCGCTTACCTGCAGGTGGTAGGACTCTGTGCTAAACACCAGGTTGATGTGATAGCCCCTCCGTGGATCCACCTGAAATACAGAAATCATCTTAGCATTGTGGGGGCTCCGCTGAGCCTCATGACCAAGAACTGCACTCTCAGGGTGGCATGGCGTGCAGATGGTGACAGTTATACCTGAAGAAAACATTTTTATTGCTGAATTTTTTTACAAACTGTTTTTGCTACCCAGTTTGCTAGTTTGACACTCACACAGTGAGAGGCAGAAAAGGGACACAGTATGTTCATCTGGAAGCTGACTTTGTAAGAGCAGCTAGACAGGCACTGGACGGGTACAGGGAGCTGTGCTGAATTCCTCCACCCACCGATAGTCAGAGCTCCCTGCCTGGGCTGCTGGGGCCTCAGAAAGACTAGGACTCTCCCTCGTGCCAATCTCAGTCACATGGACACAGTAAACGTGTAAGGACATGTTTTCAGGAGGTGACAGGTGAAGAGATGGGTAGTCTAGGAGCCACTTAGGAGATGCCTTCAAGCACCTCCTAAAGGAAGGCAAGGACACCTGTGGGCAAGGAAGGTCCATGGCTGGGGGTGAGATGGCCTGGACAACACTGGGAATGGCCACATGTGACTATGACTCTGCTGTAGTTTGGATCTCGCATGTCTCCCAAAGATCCATATATTGAAGGGTTGGTCCCCAGAGAGGTGCCCTTGGGAGATTAGGGCCTAGTGGGAGGTCTTCTGGTTATGGGGGGCTCTCTTCCTCTCTGCTCCCTGGCCATTCTCATTCCTACTATGATGTGCTGCCCCAGCACAGGCTATAAAGCAACAGGGCCAGCAGATTGTAGACTAGAATCTTCCAAACCATGAGCCCAAATAAACCTTCCTTCTCCATAAGGTGATCATCTCGGGCATTTTTCATAGCCACAGAAAGCTGCTAGGCACTGTTCTTACAGGCAGGTAAGTGTCTGGGCTTTTGAAATGCATCTTTAGCCTTTTTAAACTTCTGAGTATTGAGTCCAATGCCAACTTTTTGGTAGTATCCATCCCCATATTGTTGGGGCAGTTTCAGCTACTTAAAAACTATATTGTCTGCCATTATTTTTTATTTAAGACAGCAAAGTGGTCATTCAGCTAAGTGTTCTTTTTCTATAGAAGGGAACTCTCTGCTCCATGGAGCTGCAGTTATTTCATACAGTCTTGATTAAATTAGACTCTGTAAAACATCATTTTTTTTAATCTGACCCAGGAATACAATAACCAAACAGGGCTGTCTTATAAATAGAACAGGTATCATGACTTCCACCTAAAGATTGTTTTAAAACACTGGGAAACGGCAGAGAAGGGAGGGATAAGGTTCAGTGGCAGCTATTCACATAGAAAATATTCAGACGTGTATGTATATCACTGCAGTTGCTGGGAGGGAGGACAGGACCCAAGAGCTGGGCACTAGAACAGGGTGCCTGGGCTCATTCCCATCTTCACTCTTGGTATGAGGTGAAGCACCGACCTTGGTTCATAAAACACATGTTCTAGTCTCTTCACTCGCTCCAATCCCCCTGCTGTGCCAGGCACTGAGGAGATGCAGAGAAACCAAGCCTCCTGTCAGCCTTCCCTAGTAGGCCTGCAGCTAGAGTGGACACAGACAGGTGGACAGCAGCAGGCCAGGCTGGCGGTGTGACTGATGAGCAGGGCAAGGCCCTGCCTGGTGCAGTGGGTGTGCTCAGGAAGCGTTTGGCTGGCCATAGCCAAGCAGGGGAGGGAGCGAGGACTGGGCTGGCACCTGGACAAGGAGGCTGGAGAATGCCAGGCATGGGTACGGAGGGCAAGGTGGCACTTGAGATGGTGAGGCTGGAAAGGGCCTTTGAGGCTTTTTTTTAATTTATTTTTTAGTTATAGGTGGACACAATATATTTATATGTGGTAGCTGAGGATAGAAGCCAGCGCCTCATGCATGCAAGGCGAGCGCTTTACCTCTGGGCCACAACCCCAGCACCTGGAGCCTCACTTTTTAATGAGGACTTGGAACTGGGTCCCAAGCCCATGGGAGCTGCATTGAATAGCCACAGTACACAGGGTATTGTGACCAGTGGGATGAGGCATAAATGTCAGCCAAGGTAGGTCAATGTGTGGTCTCTATTTTTATTAAAATCTGTGGTCCCGAAGACACTAGGAGAACCGTGCTGGACACCTGAGTGGTCCAAGCTTGGGGATAAGAGGAGCAGTGAGAGACTCCCCTTGGGTTGCTTTACTTTGCCTGCCCCTGCAACACCCCATGAACAGGTGCTGGACCAAGCTGCAGGGGCAGGGCCTCTTCAGGGAAGATGCCTCAACACCCACCAAAGGGGAAGAACCCAGAACAGTGGGTTTGAGCCTGACACCCAGCCACACTGGTCCCACACGCACCGATGCTCACAGCTGGCAGTTCTCAGGCTCGTCCTCAGCTCCTGGGCCTCAGAGGCTTGCTGCACACCCAAGCTTTCCCAGCCCTGCCTTGTCCCTGCACGGGAGGGGTGCTACCTTCCTGTTCCAGCTGGGAGTGAGACCATGCTGATGGAGACGTTGGACAGTTTCTCTCTGGTGTGGGGTCGCTTATGCATGAGAATGTGCGGGAGGATGCAGTGTATGTAAAAGCAGGCAGAACTGTGAAGGCGGCACGGGACTGGGATGGCACGCAGTTCCCCAGGGAAGGTGCATGGGATGGGAGGAGTCAGCCCACACTTACTGCACACAAGGCTGCTCACCAGTGTCTCTCATTCTCAAGATAGTTGTTCATATTGGAAAGAGAACTGAAGATGTCATGTAGCTTGGCAGTTCTTTTGAAACCCATGGAGGCAAAGTGGAGTCTCTGGGACTATTCTTTGTAGGGAAAGAAGCAACTGGGTTAACCTGGGCCAAGGCAGTATGGAGTCTGTCTTTTTTAAATTGTAGATGGACACAATACCTTTTGTTATTTTTTTAATGTGGTGCTGAGGATCTAACTATGTCCTTTTGAAATGCTATTTTCTTGGCTGATTTGATTTCCTTGTTTTAGTTCAACACTCCACAACAAGTCTCCACATTTCATCCAAAATAGGATTTTTGTATTTTTTGGCTCTACTTTATCCAGATGCAGTCCTTTTATCTCCCCCAAAGGCCTCCCCTCCCTTCCTCAGAGTTACAAGTTCCTGGGGCCTGCAAGGACTTGGTACCAGGCAGGGCCACCTATGTCTGCACATGGTGTCTCAGGCTCCTTGGCTTTAGGACTGGGCGTCTCTTTGCTCTTATTCAAAATACTCCATGCACCCCAGGGTTTACCAGTGTACACCTTACTCCAAGCACTGTGCCCCCTACTCCAAGCACTGTGCCAGGTGCAGGAAGTACCATGGGCAGAGCAGTACCACCTGCCCTTCGATCTAGGGAAGGCCAGAGTGGCCACTGCAGAGCTGACTGTGGCTGGCCATGGGCCATGAAGGGATAACCAGTGTGGGAGGCCAACCTTACGGGTGACTGAGTTACACTCCCCAGCTGGGTGCTCAGGTGCTCAGTCACAGAAATGGGTGTGTCTTGCTACAGCCCCATGGGTGAAGCTATGCTCACCTGTTCCTTTGTAATATAACCCCTTTGCCCTGTTTAGGATAGAATCTTCCATGGAAGTGCCTTGTGTGTTGCTGAGGGCCATTGCCAAGTAGGTATGACGCATCGATATTTCCTTGCCAGCGTACCCCATATTAAATGGACTTGCCTTGGAAATTTGCTGTGACCTTGCATGTGTGTTTGAGAAAGATGACCCTGCTCAAGGTGATCGAGGGTGGATCCAGGTTTGAGGAAGTATTCTGCAGGTTTGAGGAAGTATCCCGGTCCTTGGGTTTAGGGCGTTCCCAGTTTAAGACAATAGGGGTTTTAGGGAAGTTGGAGGTTGAAGATTATTGCTGCTGGGATTAGGGTGTTCCTGCTATTTGTTCCCGTTGAGTTCTCGTAGTTCTCCTGAGATCAAAATGGGATTTGGGAAAAAGCCTCGTGGAGTAGATGAATTGTGCGGGCAGATGGAGATTTCCCCTGAACCTGTGTGGAGGCCGCTGTGAGTTCGGGAATAAAGAATTGCTGTTTGAATCTACAAGGTGTGTGGTGGCTCGTGATTTCAGTGCCAAGCCCAGACATCGGCAGTGTGTGTCCCCTTCTCTTACTGTACCCTTGGGTGTGGCCTACCCAGGTGTCAGTCAACCTGCTGACAGTGGACATCATGAAGATAGACTCAGCCCCCTGAAACCTGACCCCTTGCCTCATTTGAATAGCTTCTCCTCAATAAAAGGGGTCAGCGCGTGCTCTTGCTCTCTCTCTCTTTCTGCGGACCCTTAAGGTCAGAGGAGCCGTCATAGCAACCCCAAAGAAAAAGGTATTTGTGTCTCTTGTGTGGTTATTTAGTGCAGCCCAGTTAGCCCAGTTTAACTAGAGTGACCCCTGAGCCTTTTAGTCTCGAGAACACAAACCCGGCAAACCAGAGGATTGATTAGGGCAGGGACCAGGGAGGTGCCAATGTAGTTGAACTCTAAGGAGTTGATTTTGGGGCTGGGGCAGCTGCTAAACCATTCCACACTGAAGGAACAGGGCTGATGTCCCCGAGGAGCCGCAGTGGGGCCAGTAGCCAGAAGGTCTGGAGCTGGCAGGTGGGGAGAGGCTGACCAGGTGGGAGGGACTGTGTCCTGAAGGAAAAGGAAGGCTGTGGCCTAGAAAGAAGGACTTTGAATAGATCCTCTTGCTGGAGCATGGAGGAGTGATGCTGGAGTGAAGAGGTGTCCAGAGGGGGTGTGGATAGAGTAGAAAGCTAGGTGGGGGGGGGCAGGTGAGGGGCAGGACCGTGAGCCAAGGTGGGACAGTAGAAATGGACAGAGTGCGTGGCAGACAGATGGGACCCATTAGCAGGTAAATAGTGAGGGCTGGGGTGTGGCTTGGTGGTGGAGCACTTTCCTAGCACATGCAGGGCCCTGAGCCCCATTCCCAGCACCTTGCACGCACATACAAAAGGAGGAGGTCAAAAGTGAAGTTATGTGCAATTGTGCACCGTGTAACAACGTTCTGGCCAGCGAGTATCACACA